GGGGGGCGGCGGCGCCGGTAAGCAGGCGGTGGTCTGACGAGAGGCGTGACGGGCGGCCAGGGACAAAACCCGCCCCAGGCGGCCCTTGTGGAGCTGCGAGCGAGTGTCGTATCTGGGGAACCCCGCGGAGGAGCCCCTCCGCCCCCCCCTCCCTGACGCCCCAGCTGGCCGCGAGCCAGGGGACACCGAAGCCGCACGCGGGTCTGCAGGGACGCCTCAGTCAGACCTGGACGGACCCGGTGAGCAGGAGGACCACGCCGCCACCCGGCAGAAAAGGCGGCGCGCGGGGGGGGAGGGGAGGGGAGATACCTCCTGCAGAAACGGGATAGTGGCAGAATGTTTGACACCCACACACACACACACACACACACACCCCCGGTGTGGAGCTGACACAACCCGCACCTCTAGGCAGGATGCCAAGTGGGCTGGGAGCAGCTGGCACTCTGAAGGGTGGCCGGGCCTTGGCGGGCAGGCAGGCAACACCTGGCCACCGAAGCCGCACCACGTGAGCAATGGAAGGGGGATCTTTTCCACCCCCCACCCTCCTGACAACAACGGCGGCAGCAGCATCCGCTCACCATGGACTACCAGTTACAGCTTTTTCAGCACACATCATTACGGGGGAAGCCAGGCATGAGGCCCACCAACCAACAGTAAGCCCAGGGGCAGTGCACTATTCCCAAACTCACTGGCAGATATAGACAAGTTTAGAACCTCCTCTACCATTCCAGTGCACGTGAAAAAGTGTGCCTTGCACATGAACGCTCATACCTTGAATAAATGTTTGTTGGTCTTAAAGGTGCCCCGACTGGACCCTAAATTTGTTCTGATGCGTCTGTTGGACCCTAACCCACTGGAGCCATTCAGGTGGCACAGGACTTTGTGGCTGCTGTCCCCAGGGGAAATCTGGCACTTGCTCTACTCTGTCAAGCCCCGCAGAGAATGCCAGTTAGTCCTACGGAAACCAGGTATTCTTTCAGACTCACAGGAGCAGTGGGGAGAGGAATAACCATGAGGCTGCATATTTAAAAGTTAACACATTTATTTAAAATACAATTTATAAAATGTTTCTCTGCATATTTAGGACGGTCATGGGCCGATGTGGCCACTCCTTTGTCATGTGTAAACACACACACTCTAAAGTGCCCCTAAGAACAAGCCCCCCCCCCGCCCTAAGAGGACTCTGAACTGATTCCAGCACTGATTGCTGAACAGGACGGCGTCCACCCCAAGGGGCTCTGGGTGGCAGACAGCTAGAGGGACCCTGTCTGCCCGCCTGCAGGCCAGCCAGGGCCCTCAGGTGAGTATGGCTACATGGGCAGAGAAGCGACATCCCTCACTGCCTTTCGTGGCGGTGGCAGCAACAGGGCCGTGTGCTTCACCTGTGAGCAGAGGGGAGGGGGCCTGTCCAGATGCCACAGGCAGCCGGAGAGGATGTTGCCCAGCCCAAAACGGAGTTAAGGAAAGGCATGGTGACTGACCCCATTATTGCTTACGCCGTTATTCCCCTTCTTCCCTTTGGAGGTTTCTTGGCCCCATTCTCTTCCACCCACTTCCCCCTTGCCCCACCCTACCTGGGAGGTACGACTGTCCCTCTGAAAAAGCTGGAGGCCTGGAGCAGAAAGGAGGATGGAGGAAGGGGATGCAAAAATCAAAGTGACCCAACCGCCCTCGATCTCAGCCCCCCACTGTCATTCCAAGAGGAGGGGGTTCACACGAGCCACTGGCCTAGAGGACTCAGCCGAAAGAGCAGAAGAGGGCAGAGTGGGCCTCCAGGGAAACAGCGATGGTCAATCACGTCTTCGCTTTTTGTACACAGGTAGTTTTATTATTATTAATTTTCCTCAACCAGTTATTTGCTTTGCAATATTTTTGTACATGTCTCAATCTGACGTACAAAGAGACTCCTCCCCTCGCCCCGACCCCACATGACCCGACTCAGGCAAAGTTCCACTTCCATTCCAGTCGAAGAGAAGAAGCTTAAGAGCCTGACATTCACTGCAAGCTTAAGTGGGGGCATCCCTTCCACACCTGCGGCATCTTCTGAAACCAGACACAAAAAGGCAGACTCTGGAAACACAGTGGTGAAACCAGCTAGCCCAGGATCACTTGGAAGGTGGTGCTGGGGAGGGCCTAGAGCCCAAACCCCCAATATGGCTGCTAGAGAGGTCAAGGGAAGGCCCAGCCAATGGGTGCTGCAGGAACCTGCCACCACCCCAGAGGAATCTGCCCCCAGCTTTCAGGGGGAAATTCCAGAGGGGAGGGGAGGGGTGGGTCTTCTTGTTACAGTAAAGGGAAAGCCCACCATTTCTGTCTAGGACAGACTAAAGCCAAAGCGACCAATTCCTGCCAGGAGTCTTGCCGATCACCTGCATCCACTTTGTCTGAGGAGGAATGCTGCCTCCTACTATCCTGTGAACCCCACTGTGCCTTCCGGAGGGAAGTCACCGCGTCCAGAACCAGGCCCTCCCCCTCGGAGCTACAGGGCCACGAGCCAGCCCGCCCCCTGACCTGCCTGGCCAGCGCAAGCATCGCCCAAAATGGCCACGGGACTCAACCCATTTGTTCCTCGCCCACAGTCCCTGCGGCCCCAGCGCCCGCCCCCAGTCCATTGCCTGGCAGCAGCGCCAGCAGGCCAGGGCTGGCTCTCCCCTCTCCTGAAGAGGGGCACGAGGCGCATTCCCTTTCATCCCTCCCCCCCGGTAAGGCTGATACCAGCTCAGGTACTTCAAGGCAAGAGCCGCGGGCATGCCTTGGGTAGGGGCGTGGCTTAGCCGCACCCCACATTCCACTCGCTTAGCAGCAGAGGGGGCCCGGATGCGGATCAAGCGCACCACGTCCCACCCGTCGGCCCCAGCATGTGCTCCTCATGGAGCTTCTCCCCCCCCTAACAATCTACGGACTACCCCTTCTCAGAGAAACAAGTTAAAAGCCTAACTCCCCTCCCCCCCTGCCTCTTCTCATGCACTTTTGGCTTCAACACCATCCATTTCCCAAAAAGCAAACAACCACCTGCGCACTCACCCCACCCGCCCCCGCGTGAACAGAATTTGTCCCGAAAGCAACATGGACAAACATGCACGGTTCAAGCAGCAGCCCCCACCTCTCGCCTCCAGTCCCCGCCAGGCCTGTCTGCCGAAGCGGCGGTCCTTATTGCTGGTGCCGGCCCTGCGCTCAGTGGAGACGCCTGCCCTGCTCCCCACTCCCTGGGGCAGGGGCTTGGGACGGCCCTCTTCAGTGCACCAACCGCAGTGGGTGAAGCGGGGGTCACAGTGCAGGGGGCTGAAGGGCACAGTCGGCAGAGCAGAGGGGGTCACAGTGCAAGGAACCCTGGGGGGGAGGAGGTCCCCCTGCTCCAGTCTGTTTGTCCGCGTTCGCGGTAGCGCAATCCGGGCCGGGGGACAACCCTGCTTCCGAGCTGCCGAGTCGGCCACCCATGCCTATCTGCGCTGCTTGAAGCCCTGGGAGCCGTCTGGACCCAGTGGCTGCCGGATCACGTTGCTGGGCTGTCTGGCATCTTCCGGCTGGGAGATCCTCGTGGGCCTGCAGGAGGAGAGCACACCATCACCCTTCGCCAACCAAGCTGCCCCTCTCCATCCCCCCCGCCCTCGGGATCCAAAGGAAACAGAAATGCTCCTTCAGGACATTCGAGGAGCCCGGCTGCTCTGGTCCAGCACCCCGTCTCTGGCACAGGGCCAAGAGGCCGCGGCCTTCTCCTCTGGCTGCTTCCTAATGCTGGTGTTCAGTGAAAGGCCCTACACCTCCGGGAGTGGGGCTCCCCCCAGTCACCGATGGGCCGCTCTTACAGGAATCTGCCTAGTTCCCCCAACGTGAAGCTGCTTCTGCCGAGTCAGACCACTGATCTCTCGAGATTAATACTGTCTACTCCAGCTGGTAGCTGCTCTCCACAGTCTCGGGGGGGGGGGGGGGGGTCCTTTTACCTGGAGATGCTGCATGCCAAGCAGATACTCCACCACTGAGCCACAATCAGTCCCTCCTCCCTTGGCATAGGAGGGATAATTAACTGCCTACCTAGGGAGTCGAGGGCCTCCAGCCAGAAAGTGTGGGGAGAATGGCCCAGCTGTCTCTGGCGCCTGCCTCAAGCGTCTGAACTGCTGCGGGAGGGAGGCTGGCTGAGAGGGAACCCTGCTGCCTCCTCCTCCTCCATCAGGAAGGGCGGGGCACAAGACTAGATGTCTTTCCCTCTGGGAACACTTCCTCACGATGCCATCGCTACTCTGCTCCTTGGCAGTCAGCCGCCATGCCACGTGGCTTGCCAAGGGAAGGACCACCCTTCCCGCCTTCCCAACATCTCTGTGGTCCCAAACGAGTAACCGGATGAGGAGATGTCAAGCCACGCTACCATGGCCGCTATGCTTGCCTGGGAGGAGTGTCACATGATGACGCACAGGCAGCCGGTAGCACACGCACGCCCAGGGTGTGGTGTGGATGAGACTGGGCCAAGTGTCGCCCACAGCCGTGGGGCCCGGCAGTGGGAAGCCTGCAGTGCCGTGGCACCTCTCCTGGGTTTGGCCCAAGCAGCAGTAGCCCCCACCTCCCACGGTCCCCACCTGTCGAGGATGGGCTTGTCTTGTTCCTCTTCCGGACTCGCGCTGCCTAGAATTCGCTTCCGGGCCTCCGCATACTCCGCCTCCCTCTGGGCCAGCGACTTCACCGGGAAAGCCGGACGGTTAGCCAAGTGAGGACTGCTGAGCACCCCGTTGCTCGTGGGCCGCTTTAAGATCCTAATCTGTGGAGGGGGACCCGAGGGAAGGCTGTCGTCCTGAATGACAATCGGCACTTTGGGGGGAGATTTGGACTTCCCGCTGTCAAGAGGATCAGGGAGGGAGAGAGTTTACTGCTAGTGGCACAGAATATGCAGACCAGTTGCACAGAGGCGGGTTCTTGGCAAGAAGTAACGGACGGCACGCATCGGAAGAAGGTCTCTCCTGGCATTCCGCCCCCAGCAACCTCCCCTCTTTACACTGCAGTGCAAGGGAGAGTTAAGAGAGTGAGTCAAGGGCTGCCCCCAGCCCCACACACCTGAACCCAGTGGGAGAGAAATGCAGGCAAGTCCCCCTAAAGCAAGAAATACCAGCGGGGTGGGGGGTGGGGTGAGCTGCGGTGCTGGCCTGCCTGGGATCCCCCACCTAGCTGCTGTTCTTCACCGTGCCTGGACCATTCCTCAGCTTGCCAGCCGGCCTGCACAATGGACCGGGCTGAAAGAGAGAGCACTGCGACCCAGACCAGGTTCCAACCCTGCTCCCCTGCCCCAACAAACAAGCCTCCCACTGGCGAGGTGGGAATCTACTTAGCTCCTTTGGCCTTTTTCCCCTTCAGGTTTTATTTCAACTTGGTCCTAGAAGGCAATGCAAACCCAAGACCCCTTCCCTGCCCACAACTCTGCCATGTCAGTGCCCTCTCAGGCCAGATCGCTGTAGCAGTCATTAAGGCTGTTAACACAGCTCGTCCCACTCGGAATTGGGCCTTGGGTCTGATGGAATACAGGGTAGCCTCACCTCTCCTTCTGCGTGATTTTCAGTTTCTTTTCCAGCCGCCGGTCTATTTCCTGTAAGGCAACACAACCATATCAAATACAGAACATCGTTCAGAAAACAATGCAAACAGAAAGCTATCTACAGCCACCCTGCAGGTATGTGTGACCAAGGGGATTACGGGCTTTGTAGGTGATTACCAGCACCTTCAACTTAACTGGGCAACTGACTGGTAACCAACGCAGTGACTGCATCGTTCTCTAATTCTGTCATCCTAGCCTTACTGCGTTGTTTACTGAATGTCCTACGCTGTCTGTTTGGGTAGAAATGTTTTGTCATCCTCAAGCCTCAGTGACCAAGGAAGGCAATAACTGAAGCCTTAATGTGACCTGTTTACACACGAAGCTGCCTTATACTGAACCCGACCCTCAGGGTCCATCAAGGTCAGTATTGTCTACTTAGACTGGCAGCGGCTCTCCTGGGTCTCAGGCAGGGGTCTTTCACATCACCTACTGCCTGGGCCGTTTTAACTGGAGATGCCGCCAGGGACTGAACCTGGGACTTCCTGCATGCAAAACAGAGGCTCTTCCACTAAGCCACATGCTTGCTAAGACCTACAAGCCCGATTAAAGCCCGACCATCCATTTACGGCATAGGAATAGAGAAGAGAGGCGTTTCAGTGAAGCTCCCCTCCCTGGATGCCTGGAGACCATTCTTCTTGAGGAGGGAAGACCATGCAGGAGGCCTGGGAGGACATGAAGAGGGCCATGAAGGGAGGCCTGGGAGGACATGAAGAGGGCCGGTGGTCCATTGAGTCCGGCCTCCCGCCTTATGCCAGTAAGCAGGGCCTAGAAGGGAAGCCCTACCTCTCAAGGTTGTCTCCTAGGACTGGGGACTCAGAGGCTGACTGCCTCTAGATGTGGAGGTTCCCTTTAGTCATCAGTAACTAGTAACTGCTGAGGGCCGTTTCCTTCATCAATCTGTCTAATCCCCCTATAAGGACTTAAATAAGTAGACAGTAGTTGGACTATAAGGAAGGCCGAGCGCCGAAGAATAGATTCTTTTGAACTATGGTGCTGGAGAAGACTCTTGAGAGTCCCTTGGACTGCAAGAAGATCAAATCAGTCAATCCTAAAAGAAATCAACCCTGACTGTTCCCTGGAAGGCCAGCTAATGAAACTGAAGCGCAAATACTTTGGCCACCCAATGAGAAGGGAGCACTCCCTGGAGAAGACCCTGATGCTGGGAAAGATTGAAGGTCAAAGAAGACGGGGACGGCAAAGGATGAGATGGTTAGACAGTGTCAAAGATGCAACGAACATGAAATTGAGCCAACTTCAGAGGACAGCGGAAGACAGGAAGGCCTGGCGGGAGCTGGTCCATGGGGTCGCGAAGAGTCGGACTCGACTGTGCGACTGTACAACAACAAGTTTCATTCATTCACGTAACCCAATAGCTGATCAGTAACCAAAGAAGTGACTGCAGAATGGGGGTGACATGGATGCTCCTCCTAGCTCTGGCAGTAAACACGCTCTGGCCTTCCATACCAGCTGGAGTTGGCTTGGGAGGCAGACCCATGCAGAATGCATTACAGTAGTCTATCTTACTGTGGTATGGATACTTGTGGCCACACTGGCCAGGCTGAGGTACGGAGCCATCTTCTGAGCAATGTGAAGATGGCAAGCTGGTGGAATGAGCTCCCAGAGATCAGGGCCCTGCGGGACCTTGTACAGTTCCTCAGGGCCTGTAAAACGGAGCTCTTCCAGCAGGCCTTCAATCACAGAGCCACCACCAACAGCTGGTGTCACTAAAAGCAGCAGCCTGAAGGAAAGACCACGAACCGACTGCGAGAAGGGTCCATGGACAAGCAATAGCCATTTCCAAACAACATAAGGATTATTATATTAGATGGTTTTAGTAAGGTTTTAACTGTAAATTTTTAATTGTAAATTATATATGCTATTTGTGTAAGCCGCCCTGAGCCGGCCTTGCCTGGGAGGACGGGGTATAAATTCAATAAATAAATAATACATAAATAAGCAGCATTTCCTGCAGCTGCATTATATTCTGCTTCTCCAGCACTAATACTTGGCCCAGTGCAATTCAGCAGTCTCTCTTTCTAGTCTCCCTCTGAAATTGCTTTGTAAGAGAAGTTCTCCTTTAAGGTCAGCAACTGAATGTCCTGCAAGGTTAAAATGTTCCCCCACTGATTTCTGAATGTTGCTGTCAACCTCCTGTCCATTAATTCTTTGTAGAAGGGACTGGCCTGTTTGTCCAATGTAGAAGGTGGAAGGGAATTGCTGACACATGATGGCATAAATCACATTAGAGGAAGAGCAGGAATATGAACCTGAGATGATATGGCTGATGTTGCTGGGTCTTCAAATATTTGAGACTGCAATCATGTCCCTTCTAAGCCTTCTCTTTCCCAGGCTAAACATACCCAACTCTTTCAGCCTTTCCTCATAAGACTTGGATTACAACCCTCTCACCATCCTGGTTGCCCTCTTCTGGACACGCTCGAGCTTGTCAACATCCTTCCTAAAATGTAGTGCCCAAAACTGGACACAGTACTCCAGGTGAGGCCTGGCCATAGCAGAATAGAGCAGAACTACCACCTCCCTTGATCTGGACACAATGCTTCTGTCAATGCATCCTAAGACTGCATTAGCTTTCTTCACAGCCACATCGCACTGCAGGCTCATGTTTAGCTTGTGATCAACCAGAACACCCAGGTCCCTTTCACATGTGCTGCTGTCAAGCCAAGTCCCTCCCATTCTATATCTGTGCCTTTGATTTTTTTTACCCAAGTGTAGGACTTTGCACTTACCTCTATTGAAATTCATTTTATTTTTCTCAGTCCAGTGTTCCAGCCTATCTAGATCATTTTGAATCCTGACTCTGTCTTCTTCAGAATTAGCAATCCCACCTAACTTCGTGTCATCTGCAAATTTGATAAGCATCCCCTCTATGTCTTCCTCCAGGTCATTTATAAAAACATTGAACACCGGGCCCAGGACCGAGCCCCGCGGCACTCCACTCGAGACTTCCCTCCACGTAGACGCAGAGCCATTTACGAGCACTCGTTGGGTACGATTTTTGAACCAACCATGAATCCATCCAACGGTTGTACCATCCACCCCACACTTAACCAGCTTATCCTCAAGGATATCATGAGAAACTTTGTCAAATGCTTTACTGAAATCTAGATACACTATATCCACAGCATTGCCAGAGTCAACCATTTTGGTAACTCTGTCACAAAAGGAGATAAGGTTGGTCTGGCATGACTTATTCTTGATAAACCCATGCTGGCTACTACCAATTAACTCATTCCATTCAAGGTGCTCACAGACAGAGCGTTTAATATTCTGCTCTAGACTTTTTCCAGGTATTGATGTCAAACTGACAGGCCTGTAATTTCCTGTGTCCGTCTTTTTTCCCTTCTTGAAGACTGGGACAACATTCGCTCTTCTCCAGTCTTCCAAGATATAAGGACAAATGGACTCCCATTCTAGCTGTATCTGAAGAAATGAGCAGTGACTCATGAAAGCTCATGTCCTGCCACAAATTTTGTTTGTCATTAAGGTGCTACTGGACTCTTGCTCCCTTCTACTAATAAAAATTGCAAGCTGTGCTGTTGGGCTTCTTTTATTATCATTTTTTTTCATCTGTTGGAACTGGAAAGGGGGCTCTCCAAGTGAACTGGACAAAATCCACTCACTGCTAGTGATGATGATAAAAAGTCTAAAAAGCAAAGAGGGGAACTAATGTGAAGAAAGGCAACCAGTGAGGTGGGAGGGGAGAGAAGGGGGACCACATGTTCAGCTGGAATATATGGAACTATACACTAATTTTTACTTAGCCATCTATTTCCAGTCATTAAGCCATGGAATCCAATCAAAGTTTTGCAATTCATAATCTTTCTTTTTGAAAGAAAATCCCAGATAGGCAAAGAGAAATCTAATCTTTTTTTAAAAAAACTTTTCAGAATAAGCCAAAATAATTTCCCTTTAACTCCCCTTATTCCAGATGCATCTCTTTCCTGCCCCCCTTCCTTTTTTAATGTGTGTGTGTGTGTGTGTGTGTGTGTGTGAGAGAGAGAGAGAGAGAGAGAGAGAGAGAGAGAGAGAGAGCGCGCTCAAGTCTCAAAGTAAACAGCAGAGGAGGGCTTGTCAGAAAAATCTCCTTTTCCTTCCCCCTTTGCAGCAGCAGTAGTGAGAAGCAGGGAGAAGGAAGCAGTTCCTCCTGGGCTGGGTATCAGCCCTGCAGGGGCCGGATCCGGCCTGCGGGCCACATGTTTAACACCCCTGCTCTAATGTGATTTATGCCATCACATGTCAACAATGCCTTTCCACCCTCTACATTAGAAAAACAGGCCAGTCCCTTCTACAAAGAATTAATGGACATAAGTCTGTGTCAGCAAGCTGCCAATTAGTTCTATGTACTTCTGTGTACCTTTGTATGCCATGCCTATGCCATGAATCCCTCCCGTTTATCCCTGGTTCGCTTAGAAACAATTGTGCATGCTTTATAGTGATATGAAGACAGCAGCTTGTTATATGCATTCCTTTCTATGAACGCTAGTGTTGCTTGAAACGTAGTTATCTGCAAGGTCTCAGGTGCGGAGCCGGAGCCGCTTGATTAGAGCATGAGAAGCAATTAATTGTTTAAGTTTCAGGAGCAGTTGATTCTCAGGCTTTAGGCGCGAGTTTCAACGTACCCGTGAAAGCGGGAACCATTGTTATTGGTTATTGCTTGTATGAATCTGTTTATTATCCCGTGCCCTGGCTTTCTTAGTCATTCCAGTCCCTGTGTTCCAGCTTCTTCATTGCTTCAATAAATATTACTTTGCTACAAACGTGTATTCAATTGAACGTGTGGAGATTCGGACAGTCTGCAATTAGGAACCTCAACATTCAAAAATCAGTGGGGGAACATTTTAACCTTCCAGGACATTCAGCTGCTGATCTAAAAGTAGAACTTGTCTTACAAAAGGATTTCAGAGTGAGACTAGAAAGAGAGACTGCTGAACTGCAATTGATAATGAAGCTCAAGACAATGTATCCACCTGGACTGAATCAAGACCTAGGTTTCCTGTCTCATTACCAATGCTGATTTCTCCATGCCTATTACCCCTCTGCATATCTCACCTAATCCAATCACGGCTACTATTGTTATTCACCTGCTATTGTCATTTGCCTGCTAATGTCATTCTACATCTGAAGTCACTCCACTTTCCAAGAAACAGGACTGATGGACTCCCATTCTAGCTGTACCTGAAGAAGTGAGCAGTGACTCCTGAAAGCTCCTCCCCTGCCACAAATTTTGTTAGTCTTTAAGGTGCTACTGAACTCTTGCTTTTTTCTGCTGCTACAGTCAAACTAACATGGCTACACATCTTGATTTATCTATTTTTGGTATTTTTGCATTTGTGTGTGGGCCCGTGCCTGGAAGCTATGGCAATCTCTGGTGACTCCTACTGGGGCACAGAGGACATTCTCTGCCTCTGGCTTCCCAGCCCTGGTATTCTCTAGCGGCCTCCCACCCAAATGTCAGCCCTGCTTAGCTTCCAGGGTCTGACCAGATAGGGCTTGTCTGGGCTACCCAGGCAGGGCTGCTCTACACTTCTTTACCAAAATCCCCCGCCCGCCCGCCCGCCCAATGCTGTAGAATCCCTAAGGCAGCTCCCGAGTGTCCAGTAGTAGTCAGAGACAGAAAAGGCTCCCTCTGTCAGCATTCTCCACCCCCATCATAATTATATCAGCTGCTAGCATTTCTCCCCCTTGGGTTGTCTTTCTCTACACTAAATAGCCCCAGACTCTTCTCATCTGGAGTCCTCACTCGAACTCCTTACATAACTTAATCATCATTTGGCAGAAAAAGCTCGGTATGGGGGGGGG